ATTTATCCTAGTTTGTATAGATATTTATCTCAGTTTGCAAAATGGATCTATTTATAGTCTCATCATTAATACTTTCTTGGACTTTTCAGCACAAATCTTCTCTTTCTCCCTCCCTCCCTCTCCCCTCCACACATACATTCAAACACATACATTTTCACACAATTACTATTTTTATTTACTTCATTTAGACTAACATAACATTAAGAGATTTTGGCACCTAAAAATAAGTTTAAGACAAACTCATTTTTCATTTGGCACTTAGATCACTGTAGTAAGAAAGAGTACTGGACTAGGACTTAGTTAGTACTTGCCATGTTCCTGAAAACCTAACATTGCATTTAATCCCCGTATCTAGACTGCATTTTATAGATGAAGAATTCAGTGTCCTAGCTTTGCCACGAATTGCCTGTGGAACTTAGGCCATTCACTTCCAACCTCTGGGGCTTATTTTCTGTATCTTCCAAACGAGGTGGCTGGATTTGCTCCCAAGGGAGCATCAGAATCAACTGGGACATTTTTTAAATAAAAAATCATCTGGGCACAGTGGCTCATGCCTGTAATCCTAGCACTTGGGGAGGCTGAGGCAGGTGGATTGCTTGACACCAGGAGTTTGAGACCAGCCTGGCCAAAAAAGCGAAATCGTCTCTACCAAAAATACAAAATGTTAGTCAGATGTCATGGCACGAGCCTGTAATCCTAGCTACTCGGAAGGCTGAGGCATGAGAATAGCTTGGGCCTGGGAGGTAGAGGTTGCAGTGAGCCAAGATTGCACCACTGCACTCCAGCCTGGATGACAGAGTGAGACCCTGTCTCAAAAAAAAAAAATCATCTGACCTCTTCACACACCTTTGGAATTAGAATCTCTGCAGGGGTGGACTCCAGGAATGTGTCTAACAAGTAACCCAGGTGATTGTGATGATGAGCCGAGTTTGAGAACAGGATCCTTCACCACCTCCAGTGGTGCTGCCAGTGACAACACCCCAGTATTTGCCTACCCGCCTTCACTTGGTAGTCTGAAGTATTGAGAACTATCCTAAAGTAAACTAAAGCACCAACCAGCCGCACTTAAAATACTGAACAGTTCCACATTCACTTAGAAGACCGAAACAACTTTCATAATCTAGGTGGATGACAGCCACACAAACAACTAGGCAAAGTCTCTGTGTGACAGACCTCATGACATGGCTTAAAGCCAGCTCGAAAGGCTATCCCAACAGAGCTCAGGAAGAGAATATTTTTAAAGAAGTCTCTTACCACAACTGAACCTCAAGCAGGACTGACTGGCAGGGTTTTACATTTTATCACAACAGGAAGGTGAGGGGGCTACTGGAGAATCTCATTAATGCTTTAGTTTTAAACCAGCTTTTGCTTTGGGGCATTCCGTGGGTTTGTTAATGTGAATACAGCTCTGCAGCTCCCACTTCCCCTCGACTTCATAAATGCCCAGTCCCTTTCTGACCTGTACTGAGTATGGGCTGGATCACACCTGGCCAGTGATTTCCCCCACCCCCACCATTTGGTACATATTACTTAGAGTTGGGGATCATAAAACATGAACAAGGAAGAGTTTACATATGTTTTCTGGTTTAGTTCAGGCATTCCCTGGGGATGGCAGACTTCACGCTCTCATAACCAGCTGGGAGCTGGGAGCAATCAGGCCCTTAATGGCTAAAACAGAAAGGGCTTGCATCACTGACCACCTCCTGACAGCCAAAGCCTTTCTTCCTGAATGATAATTACATGAAATGCACTCCCCCTGCACGCATGTGCATGTGCACGTGCAGACACACAGGTGTGTGTATGTACCTAAAACGTAGCAGGTTTGACAGCCAGAAATAGCTATCCAATTTAGATTCACTACGTGTTTGCAAAATCCTAATGGAGCTCTTAGAGTAAAACTCTCGGAGGGTCTAATGGGGGACAGAATGGTATGATGGAAAAAGTATTAGACTGTAGCAGCAAAAGACCCTGGATTCTACTTCTGGGTCCTCCATTAATTCTATAACTTTGGGTAAGCTTCCCTGAACTTTATTTCTTCCTTTGCAAGTCAACGGGATTGGACTAACCAATCTCCCACAGCCCTTTCAACATTCACATCATGGTGAAATGTTCACGATGGTGAAATGTATTCAGTTACATGTTTGTGTATCAACTAGACTGTGACCTTTTCAAGACTTAAGAACTATGTCTTTGGTAGTTTTGAATATCCGGCACCTAGTAAAGTGCCATACACAAAGCAGATGTTTAATAAATGTTTCCTAAATGAAACTTCATGTCTAGTGCCTGATCAAAACAGTGCACTTAATTCTTTACAAGCGCCTCGCCTTATTTTTTCATGTGTTTAAAAGCATCACATGGCCAGGCGCAGTGGCTCATGTCTATAATCCCAGAACTTTGGGAGGCCTAGGTGGGTGGATCACCTGAGGTCAGAAGTTCGAGACCAGCCTGGCCAATGTGGTGAAATTCTGTGTCCATCAAAAATACAAAATTAGTCAGGCATGGTGGCATGTGCCTATAGTCCCAGCTTCTCTGGAGACTGAGGGAGGAGAATCGCTTAGAATTGGGAGGCGGAGGTTGCAGTGAGCCAAGATTGAGCCACTGTACTCCAGCCCAGGTGACAGAGTGAGACTCTGTCTCAAAAATAAATAAGTAAATAAATAAATAAATAAATATACCACAGGAAGATACTTTTTTTCAAGATCAATTGTGTTGCTGTGACATGACCAATATCAGAAGCAACCTTTAAACACCCCTACACCCTGTCTTTAATGTTGTCTCTTTATTTTCCTCTTACTGAAAGCATTTCTATGCCCCTGACATGCTTTCTTTGCTTGTTACACACAGTGGGCCCTCAATCAGTATTAGGTGAATGAGCATATGAATGCATTTACTTTTTCTAGTTTTGTAAAATTTACTTTTGCAGAAGGCCCCAGAATCTGGCCTCAAATTGTGAAGCAGTCAAGGGAATAATTAGCCACTGAAGAACACTGTAATTAGATAGGACATTTTTGTTCGTTTTACTATAAAATATTTTTACAGGAAATGTGTTTTAAATGACTAACATTGTGAATGGGGCAATTACAGCAACTCCATAAGTAGCCATGTTGAGGGCTACATCATTTTTGTCTTCCTTCCTAGTTTAATTCACCAAAGAAACCAATTAAAGTTTAAAGACAAACTGAAATAGCCTAATCCACCCTCCACATTTTGGATAAGCAACAGTTCAGAGGGCACAGCAGTTGCACTGTACAGATGCTAAGGGTGTGGGTCAACTAAGTGAACCAAGTCTGGGTTTGAATCCCAGCTCCTCCAACTTAACTAGCTTTGAGGAAGAAATAAGACTTAGTGTTTGATAGACCAGTAGGGTGACTATAGTGTATAGTAATCTATCATACATTTCTTTCTCTCTCTCTCTTTTGTTTTTTGAGACAGGGTCTCACTCTTTCACCCAGGCTGGGGTACAGTGGCGTGATCATGGCTCACTGCAGCATTGATCTCCCGAACCCAAGTGATCCTCCCACTTCAGTCACCCCAGTAGCATGGCACCATGCCTGGCTATTTTTTGTATTTTTTTTGTAGAAATGGGGTCTTTGTGTTGTCCAGACTGGTCTTGAACTCCCATCCTCAAACGATCCTCCTGCCTCGGCCTCCCAAAGTGTTGGGATTACATGCGTAAGCCACAGCACCCAGCTGTGTATATTTCAAAGTAGCTAGAAAAGAAGAATTTGAATGTTTCTAGCATAAAGACAAATATTTAGGCGATGGATATCCCAATTATATTGATTTGACCTTTACAAATTATATGAATGTATTAAACTACCACATGTCCCTTGAAAATATGTACATCTATTGTGTATCCATAAAAAGTAATTAGCAGAAATAGAATATTTCTAAAACAGAAAAACAAAACAAAACAAAACCCAGCTTCTAAGTTTATTAGGACTGATTTCATGTGTTACTGTGAAATAATAATATGTAAACTGGCCAGCATAGCACTTGAGGTGTAGTGGAAGCTCAACAATAGTAGTGTAATATACTATTGTGCCACCTCCTCCTACAAAGCTGGCAGCATTCAGGAATCAGATATTACCTTAGGGGAACTGACTGGTAGCTCTTGGCTACATGTTCTGCTATACGTTGGATGTTGGTATCTCCCGTGGTTCCATTACTAACAATATCTGACTGAAAACAAGCAAACTACTGCCTCACTCACAGACATTCCCTTCCTCCATCAGGAATTTCATCAGGCTTAGGCTGATATAATCAAGGCTATAAACAAAACCATTGGAGAACATGGATGTTTGCCTTGCTTATGTGCTTGTGAGGTTTAGTTAGTGAACTCTAGCTGGATCTTTTGTGTTTAAAGTCACCACTCAAAATGCTAATATGATATACATGATTGAAAACACCAAGAGGAAATCAGAATCAGAAAAACTGGAGATAACCAAATTAAAGAGAGACCTGGTCAATTTCTGAAGCATGGCTCTTCCACTAACTATAGGTGGGTACTCTTGGGCAAGGAGCAATTTCACTACGCTTCAGTTTCCTCATTTATAAAATGAAGATAAGAGCTCCCACTTCATAGGCTTGTCATCTATTGCATACCAATAATGAGGACTATGATAACTGACAATAATGCTAATAATAGCCAAAATCTATTGAAGATATCACATACCAGACACATGCTAAGTGCTGTATCTAACATCGTTCCCTATGAAGAAGATATTCTTTTTATTTCTATTTCATGAATCAGAAAAATGAACTAATGGAGATAAAATGACTTCCCAACATCCCACAGTAAGGAAGTGGGTGGAGCCAGGTTTTACGATTCCATACTCTGTGATCTTAATATGCTGCCTAACTCTGTGAGGTCATTCAGTCCATTGTCATCCCTTCCCCCCCTTCCAATTTGGTTCTCATTTCTCTCCATCAGCGCCTGCTACCGACCACCTCACCCCAATAAGGCTCAAATCCTCTGAAAACTATAGACTGGTACTCACAGTGGTAGTCAGCTTTCCTGCATTCTTCTGGACATATTGGATGGAATCGTGGATTGTTGAAAAGAGACCAAGCAGTATGTTTTCCATGTCATAGATTCTGTACATGCCATTCACAAGTTCTTCAAGAGACAGAATGTATTCTCTCCAGTACTTGTCAATCTCCACCACACCTGCCATACAGCCTTGCATGACCACATTGCAGTAACCACCACAAGGTTTAACCATCATCAGTCCCTGGCAGTAAGAGCAGTACCACATTCTGGTGAGCATTCGGCCACAGTCCTTACTGAACTTCAGGTGATCGGTTGTGTTGATCACTTCAATTCCAAGATTTAGAGCCTGAAGGAAGATCCTAGTGACTTGCAGTGACTTGGAAACCTGGGTCATAATAAGCTTGGGGAAATTCCCAAATACTTTCAGGTCACGTCTTGCTCCTCGGAGGCACTCATTTATGTCCAAGGCCGAATCAGGCAGGCCTGGGTTCATTAGCTGGGTATAGATGACTGGAAATAGGCTGTCAAACAATTCATTGACCATGTCATCCACATTGATGTCAGAACCCAAAATGTAGAGAGAGACATCTGTGAAAAATTCACCCACAAACTCAAAAGCTTGTGGAGTCAGGCTTGGGTAGTTGTTCTTGAACATGGCATTGGTGTAATTCTTGGCATGGCGGACAACAATTTCAAAGGCCTCTGTAAAAAAAGAGACATAAAAATGTGTACAAATTAAAACATGAAAAACCAGGGTATTGATAAATTTGAGACTTCTCTATTGCTGTGGTGATTAAGGTCCCATTTGCCTTAAATAATTGACTTTTATTCATTTCTGGTATTGCCTCTACTCTTGCAGTCGTTTGCACCTATAAATCAATTTTCCTTTCTGAACATGAAGTCCAGATTCTGATGTGCACATAAATTCTTAAACACACAAATTATATTTCAAATGACAAAAGCCAAGATTCGGTAAACATTTCAGCCTTTCATGAAAATATTGATTAAAAATTGGCTAAATGAGAAGTTATTTCTCTTTTTCTCACATTGATCTATTCAGTTAAAAATTGTATTTTAGGACATTTCATTTTTAGACAGAGATAAATATTTGACAACAAACCATATATTGTATAAACTCACATAATAGTTTAAGCCTGTTTAGCCCTGGAGGGGAGGCAAGTTCCTAGCCAAGAATAAAAGCTATCACGAATTTAATCGTTTTGGTAGATTTTCTCCTGATAACTTTAAAGGGAGCTTTCTGACAGATTGCCAGACCTGGAAATGGAATTTATCCAAGGCATTTGTATCTGGGTGGAAAAACAATCCATGTACTTATCTATCATTTGGTATTGAAAATAACACCTCTAGCATTTGCAAACTGAACATCTGGAAGGATAACTACTAAGCTTCCTTGCTAAGTTCAGCTTCCACATGGCTTGGAAGCCTTATCTGCTCCACAGAGACCACAAATTCATGATTACGTCTGCTGCCCCAACTCCTTGGCATAAAGCCCAATCAGTGTCATTGGTTTGAAAGAGAAAGTAGTAATGTCACCATCTCATTTCTCCAAACTGAAACATCCCAGAACCAAATTATTTCAAATAATCAGAGTTCTACATTGATATGAGGGAAGGAAAAACAACCACAATAGGTTTTTGAAGAAATAAGACAGAGTTTAAAAACAAACAAAAATAGCCAAGTTTCCTGAGACACTTGAAATTAACTTAGGCCTTCCTTTCATTTCCTTCGAAAGTGCAAAGGTCCATGACAGATGCACTCCAAATGATGCCAGTTCATGAGCCTTGAAAAATCAAATTATTACCACGTTTAGACTACCAGAGAGACCATATTCCAACAGTTTCTTGGGATCTCTTAGTCCAACATTTCAGTCATCTGTGGCAGAAGTACGCTCTAGGTTGTGCTACCACCATCTGCCTCAGATCCCTCCCAGGGTAGAACATACTCCTTAGATTCTTCCCTTGGGCTTATGACATGCCCAGCAATGTTGAATAATTGCCAGTGCAATTCTATTGGGCCTCCAAGCCCACTTGAGAAAATAATGAGTTTAAAACAGAACTTAATTCCTACAAAGGTTTTTGAGTATATGTGTGTTGGCTGCAGCTCTGAAGGCAGGGAGAGTGTAACATTCCCTGAGGGACACTAGTTTGCATTGATTACTTCTACTTTACAGCTGTGTGTCCCTGGGGAAAAAATCTGCCTATCCATAAGTTATCGAATGTTCATTTGTTTTGTTTGTTTGTTTGTTTAGAACATTAAGCAATTCCTAGAAAGTTGCTCTATCTTATAACAACTCTCCAAACTCCACATGCTACTTTAGTCTCAATTTTTGTTTTATAAAAGCTGTATGAGCCCAATACAGAAGACCAGTCAATAAATTCATTAAAATCATCAGAAATTTGGAGATTTGAAACTATTCAATAATTTTAATTTCAGCTAGCAATCACTTGTTATATATCAGGCTCTGTGCTAGCTGCTTGAGGTACGCAAGTGCTGGGTAGATGAAGATAAATGATAGACCATCCTTGTCTTAGAAAATATTGACAAGCTATATGGTTTAGAGTTTACAAAACATTCTCAAGTATATTATAGTATCTACTTTTTACAACAATCTTTTAAGTTTTGTATTACAACTCTCATTTTATAGATGACAAAATAGAGGCTCAGTAGAGTTAAAGCATTTTTCCAGTGGTCACACAGGAAAGTAGAAGCAATCAATACAAACTATTGTCTTCCATAACAGTTACACTCTTGTTGCCCTCCGACTTACAACCAATACACATAGTCTCAAAAATTTTGGCAGAAAGTAAACTTCTATTTTAAACTCATTATTTTCCCATTGGCTTCTCATCTTCAAATGGAAACGTACTAGAAGAAATTGCAACCCAAAGGCCAACAAGGCAGAGTCACACTTTCACCTTTGCCTTTGTGCAGAATGAAGAGAAGGGAAAAGACTGCTGTGGATATGCCACTCCTGTAGATCTCAATCATCGAAGCAACCCTAAAATGAATTCTATACAAGGCGAGTTTTATATCAAGTATAGTGCATTCATTCTCTAATGTACAAGATGTATAACAGTGAGATTCCATAGACGATACTGTCATAACCTTTTTCTTTAAAGTTTCTGTTACTAGCACTCCTAAATCGATAGAAAAAGAAAATTATAAGAGATCATGAACTCTTCTGCAGAAAGAATAATCACAATGCATATTGCAAGGGAAAGGGCTATGGGTTTACTTTGAACCTCAAGCTCATATGTACTCCCTGCTCCAACTTCTACAGCTTAGAATTCACTTAGCACATTTTTGGGCTTTGCCCAACCCACTTACTTCTGTATCACAGGACAACAAACTAAATCATAACTGCTCAACTACAGACTCCTGGGAGACTTATAGAAACCAACACTACTTGAAAAGTGATGCTCAGTTTTTCTTGGAAACTTGAGGTCTCATGAAATGAAGTCAAGGGCTAGAATTACTGCAAAGACATTCAGCTCATTGATTTTTTTTGTCAGATAATAATGTAAACTTTGACTAGGGGAGGTTTTCCTCTGCCTCCTTCCTGGGAAGAAATCAAGCGCTATATCCAGGAAAAATTTGAACAATCAATGTAAAATCAGGGCTATCATGAACATTTTGGCATTTAATAGAAAATATTCTAATTGTTTACAATATAAAGAAAAATAAATGGTACAGACAAATAGATTTAATAAATTTTGGTTAATACAGTCCTAATATAGCAAGGTTTCTAGATTTCTAGATGTCCCCACTATCATTCTGGTCACCACCCTTTGGACATGCTCTAGTGTTGTCAATGTCCTCCTTAAATTATGATGTTCAAAAAGGGATACAATTCTCCAGATGTGGTTTGATAGTGAAGTGTACAATCAGGCTATTACCTCCCTTTAAATGGTTCAATAACTTCTACTACCCCCTAGGACATATAGCCTATCACTGTAGCAAAATGACTGTCCTTAGTATTTGATACTGATGTTCCTGTATTCAGACACAGACAGGAAGAAATGTGTTTTTATCGGCCTTTTCAGTAGTAAGCTGGGTATTAAAAAAAAAAAAAGGAGAGTATATTTGTGTTTGGAAGAAGAGAGGAATAAATGAACCATGGAATCTCTTTCAAGTCCTTTAGGATAAGGCAGTCCTTATAGAAGCAGGTTATTTTTTTTCCAAGGCAGTTTTTCCAGCACTGTAAGAAAGGGAAATACTTAAGAGCTTTTTTATGTTCCTGGTATAAATGCCTCACAATGGGTTAGAATAACAATGGTCCTTGTTTTCAAGCTTACGTACCTTAACGGAAAAAAGAAAAGCAATATTTATGAAGTACCTGCAAGGTACATGCCAGGATCTGTGGTAAAATTGGTCATACCTGTCTTCTCATTCAACTTTAACATAACCATATGTGTTTGTAATTATTTTTATTTTACTGGCAAGGAAACAGGCTCCGAGATGTTATGTGACTCAAAGAAGATAATACCTCTAGTTAAATGCTAAGTCATTCTAACCAAAGCACTTGGTAATTCCAAAATGTGCTTCAGATTTGAAGACTGGATGCTGAGAGACTTCTGGGTTCAGCTCTAACATGTAAAAAGCCTAGAAGTTGTTGTGCCCATCCTCAGCAATAAGAAAATAGCCAAAGAAACAGAATCAATGATTCTTCTCAGACTCATCTGAGAGTTGAGGTCAGGGCAAACTGCAACCCTGAAATCTGAGGAGACATGCAAATACAGAGAATCACATCTGAGATTAATTTGCCCAGAGCAGAAGCCGCTGAAGCCACAAACTCATAGGAATACTTAGATAATTTTAACAAATTGCTAGAGGCTGAATGTGGACTAGCTCTAGACTTATAAACTCCGGGGGCCCCAGACTTATGGATACCCACATTTCTATGGGTTTTATATCTAAAAACCACACAAAGTTCTCACAGCAAAGATGCAAGAAAAATATCTTTGTTTTTTGGGCAGAGAAAGACAAAAAGTAGTAATTTTGAAATATATCATGAGCATTCTCCATTTAAAAAAAAAAATGCCAAATCTCCCAGGGGAACACAACTTTACCAAAGCCTGATATACTTGGAGGAAAGGCAATTATTAGGTTGGTGCAAAAACGACTGCAGTTTTTGTCATTAAAAGTAATAGAGAACTTCAGCCCCCTCTAATTTCCCTGTCATACCTAAGGGGAGAAAGAAACAAACTAAGCTAAGATAAACTTCTGAAGATCACAGCCCAAAGACTTACGCCCAATAATATACTGAGATTCATCATAAGATTACAGTCAACTTCCACTCCCCCTACACCTTACCACCACATCATTAGATCTAAAGTATGATAACAGCACATTACAACTGAGAGGGAAGCAAGACACAGACCTATTTAAGAAGGAGCTTTTAGGGAAACACCAAAACAATAGGTGAGATAAAGTAAAACAAGGGCAATAGAGGAAACTAAAGTCTCTGGCATCTATACCTACAGAAAACAATAAATAGCTCACCTACTAGCCAGGTTAACATAAAATTTCACATTAAAAGTCTAATTACTTCAAATTTCTATTACTCAATATATTATGCCCTGTTTCTGACAAACAACTACTACAAGCCATACTAAAAGATCAAAAAAAAACCTCACCTTTTTGTAAAAAACAAAACAAAACAAAAACCTTTGGCGAGACAA